TCGTCGTCGTCGTCGTCGTCGTCGTCGTCGTCGTCGTCGTCGTCGTCCAGTCGTCGTCGTCGTCGTCTGGTTCACTGATCACTGCGGCTATACACACTCACTCTGAATTCTGATTTCATATCTGCAAGAAAGGAGGGGTTCAAACATGTTCAATGAATCCTTTTCATGACAGGGAGAGTTGGGAATGCTGGGATGATGAAGGATGCACTCCTCTTCTGAACAGGGCTCCTACAAGGCTCCTACACCCTTGCAGGAGATGGGCCTCCAGCAAAGTTGACTCCCTCAGTGATGATGAACCGCCTCAGCATCTCGGTGTGCTCGTCTCTACTGACAATCGAAACCTACTCTTGACTGCTCAAAGCTGTCCGAAAAGGATGAAATGTAAGGAAAACCAAGAACCTCCGAAAAGACTAAGGAGCTTGCTCGCCACAGGAAGGTGAACAAAAGCAGGTATTGATAGATACAGTAATACAGTACAAACCAGAAATCTAAAGGCGCGTGCTTGGTGCCTTCTGACGTCTCTGCTTATTTTGCCCGAGCAACAGCTCGAAGTGCCCTGCAGGCAGCGACCCTTCCAACAGGGCAATGCGAAGATGTTGCCCATCGACCTCACCTGAGGACGTGCAGTGAGAATGAACGGAATGAAGGTGCTCACCTCCGCACCGTTCACTGTTAGTATCTGTTATTGCCAGAATTCTCTGCACTAAGTCTTTGTTTCGTGGAAAACTCCACTTTCAGTGCACGAACCTCTCACGTCTCCACTCAAGTTCACCTCTAATATCCGCAACTTCTGGCACCTGTCTTTATGCGGAACTTGAGGTTGAACTGGAAGAAGGACCAGGAACGGCAAGCGCGAACCTGCGACGCCTGAAGCCTGCTATATACATATATACATACATCATGGACATACATCTATATACATATATACCAGCAGTCACAAAGGGGTGCTTAATGGAGGTTAGGGGGGCCAATTATCCACTCACTTAGGGACCAAACACCACCCCTTTGTGACTCCTGGTATATGTGATTTCTGCCCCACACATGAACCGTTGGTCAGAAGCGCCCTGAAGCGCCACCAATCAACACTGACGTCGCCCACCCATCCAGACGCAGCGTTCCACCGCCACCGCGTTCCACCGCGTATCGCATCCGCGTATCGCTGCTTCGCCACATGTCAGTCAAGCAACAGCTGGTCGTGAGCTGAGGCGTGTTGCCCAAGGCTCCTCAGAACCAATCAACGGGCTTTGGGGCTGTTCCTTTCAGTTCCAGAGCCTTTCCATCAGCTTCCGTTCGAACCGACTTTTCGATCCATCGACTACGCACGAAGCCAAGCATCGAAAGGGTTGTGTCGGCAACACTGGAAGGCCCGCTGTGGCTGCCTGGGAGACAGGCTTCTGGAGGAGCTTCGGGTGAGGAAGTCGGAGCTTCCACGAGTTCAAGGTCTTTCCAGAAAGACCTATAGACTGCAGTTCAAGACCTAATACAGTATATGAATATATATATATATTATATGATGCAAAAGCCCGGAAAGACTTCAGCTTGCAGGACCACCATGATGTCGTACCACTTGTGATGCCGCCACAGGTCCAACGACGCCAAGGTCGCACTATGACGGGTCCCACCGGCCCAGACCGCCATCCCGTCCGATCACCTGACGTCGAGGTGCGCATTGCTCTGGCAGCAGGAGCCCTTCTGGTGCTGTGAGCACCACATAGCCGCCAGCCCTCAGGTGGTTGGTTGGTTTCCAGCGAGTCTACTCAACTCGGACTCAACTCGCAGTACTTCCCCCATGGCTTTCCGTACTTCGTCAGGTACTTCCAAGGTCCGGAAAAAAGGGTGGAAGAATCGTCCCCCTAAAAACTCGCTCCTTCGCTCCAGGCTCCTCACTCGCTCCTCCCCCTCCAGGCCTTTCTTTGACCAACACCGGGGTGCGAAGCTGGGAGTTGACGAAAACGCGCCGTCGAAGCTGGGAGAACCCTGCGGCACTGGTGAAAAGGAGCTGAAGCTCAAGAGCACTGGCCGTGTGGTCGCCTGAGACGATGACGGAGCCATTCGAGGAAAAGACGAAAACAACAAATCGCGGGTCACGGAAGTCACTTCTGCAGTTACTTGAAGATGCTTGAAGTGCAAACAGAAAGGATCCAACTACTCACTTCCCTCTCTCTCTCTCCATTTCTTGGAGAACTCTGGGTGGTCAACCAGATTCTCACCAATGTCTTGCTCATTCAGTCTATCACAATCAAGTATCGGCCGCAGGGTGTCCTTGAGTACTTCAGGATGTTGCCACGAAGCCGATGTGATGGTGGCAAAACGGCTTCGTCGGCTTCGTGCTCTTGGTGGTCGCTCACTAGGATGGTGTTTTTCCCCTTTTTCCAAGACAGTATGTGATACTTATGGATGTTGAAGTGGAGGTCCATGGAGGTCCAAGAATCCAAGAAGCTTGTCCTTTTCAAACCATTGGTGCGTGCTGTGAGAACCTGTGAGGTCCCCATCAGTCCGCTGACAAGAGTGCAGGAAGTGACAAGTTGTTTGGTGAAACCAATCGAAACGAGTGTGGGTCGCTCGATCAAGTTGAGAATGTCCTCGATGTCTTTCAAACCTCAGGCAATGCGGCAACGCAGGACGGGGTGCCTGGTTCGCTCGTCTTTCACTCTCAGTTTCGCTCGTGTCGTGATGGTTCATCTGAAAAGTCCGTGCTGATGAGCCCGAAACCAACTGAAAACAACGGTTGAGCTCTGCCTAATTACTGCACAACCAGCATTGACCAGCCGTAGCAAGAGGCCTTTTTGTTGGTCTTCAAACTCGCAATGCTGCCAAACAATGACCACCTGTGGCACAACTGCGGTGCTGCGGTCATCGTTGCGCTTGCGCCTACGCGATCCTACACGTTCCTACGCGATCCTACACGTTCCTACGCGATCCTACGATATCCTACGCTAGCCCTGTAGGCGAAAAGAACTCAGTTCACCTAGACATTGCACCCTGTTTGGTGCAGCCGGTCATCAGCCGGTCATCAAAATTGGCAGTTTTGCCTTGGTTAGCCCTGTTGGCAAAGCTAATTGAAACAATCATTCCATGGCACACTTTGTGGTGCATGACGACATCAAAACGAATCGCTAATCACTAATCACCATGTCTCAGCATCTTGCCCTGTACAGTCTGTATTTGTTCGGCTGTGCATTCCTGACAAAGAGTCCTTGATCACAGTCTATCTGTGGAGCATAGTGTCACATCCTTCAAATTACGCCTGGCTGAGTCGGTCCTGCCACTTCCACCGCACTTGGGGCACTGGCCCCCACCGCGAGCGCAGTCAGCACATCCTTTACCTTCACAGTCGCAAGGTGACCACTCCGTCAGTGTTCCTGTGCCCCAGCACCGCGAGCAACGAGAATTCGAACGTACGAAGGGGAAGCTCGACCGGTCGTGGGGAGCGAAGGTGGGTCCGTGGTCCATGGCTGTCAAGGTTTGTGACACTATGTGACACTAACAGCTCTTCTCTTGGCTTGAGACAAAGGCTTTGGCTCCAAACATCTCCAAACTCCATACATCCAGAGACCAATCATCGTCAATGTCAATGTCTTCGAGACATTCATCGCAACTGACGTGAGGAGATGGTGTTCGACCAGCCTGATTGACCTCTACTTCGCCTGGCGCAGCCTCTGCTTTCCTCGACCCCCACCCTGAGATGCCCGGCCGGTTTTGTTTGAAGATGAGATCGAGGAGGAATGTGCCGCACAGAGTTTGTCACGCAAAAACACGGCCCAAAATCAGACTGAACCCCTAACGGCCCCAGCAAGTGCCCAGCAGCATAGAACAACCGAAATCACTGCTTCACACGTGAACTCACCATGCCCCAATGACCCTCAGACAAAGACGGCAAGCATTACAGCAAAAAAGAATTATGCCACCACAGCTCCAACACATGACCCCCTCATCCACTTGCTTGCCCAGAAAGTCTCAAGTTGCTTAGTTGACCTGTTTGATTTATCAGATTGTGCCTGATGTTGAATTCTGCCCGCCGAGGTACATTGTACCAGTGGGGCAACTCCACAAGCTCTGCCTGAATTCATCCAATCAACTGAGCGGCTAAAATGAAACCATTCATATGACCAACCCACCACTAAAACATGAACAGGAGGTTTGTAAAGTCACTGTAACTCCCTTGCACACGGCTTCCAACTTCCAACTTGCAGTTCCTTAGACGAAAGGCCGAAGACCGCTCCGTTTTCTGCTCGTGCACGAGACGCTCCCATCCGTCCCGTCCCGTCCGGTCGCCCCGAAGACCGGGCGGTCTACCGCCCCGTCCCCGGGCGTAGACCGCCTGGAAGGTGCGGAGGGGAAGCTGCATGGCGCCATAGGCGGCATGAGCTCCCACCTCCAAAGCCCAGCTCGACCTTCGTCTCGACGAAGACGAGGAGAGAGCGAGACCAAGCAGACGAGCGAAGACGCGGAAGCAAACGAAATGCGAAGCGGTGTTGGTGGGTTCATGTCTTTTTGAGGAGTGGTGAAATGAAAAAGCACAAAGCACACACCAGGTGACTGGTGTCAAGTTTTGGGGGTTGTGATGTTTGTGTGTGTTTGTTTGTTTGTTTGTTAAATGGGAAGAGGAAGAAGAAGAAGAAGAAGAGGACGAAGACCAGTGGGGCATCCTCCTTAGTTGGTGTAAGCTGTGTAAGCTGGAAAAAAAACATGCGTCTATATGGTGTTCTGTAGTCTGAAACTGCCAAACTCGATAATTGAGTCATAACTAGTCACTAGTTTCAAACGTTCAAGGCCAGCCACTCAGCGGAGTTTCGAAACGGGCTGCAAGCCTACGCGTGAGTTAGGACGATGTGAGCGGTAGCGGGGCTCCAAGTGTCTTGAAGCCTTCTGGTCGGCATGGAGATGGACAAAGAAAAGGAGTGACCGAGGGACTAGACGATGATTCATCCATGATGATTCATCCCAAATGGGTATATCTTGGAATAGGTATGGGCTTTCGATCCCCCACAACCAACGGCTGTGTCTCGTGTTGGCCTCAAAGAAGCTGGGGCCCGACATATGATCCTCTTTGGGTTGGAAGTTGTATGGACCATGTATGACCATTCATTTAAGTGTGTATTCTCAGGGAGATCCCCGATCCCTGGCTGGGTAGACGGGTCGGAACGTTGCCGTTTCCTTCTTCCACCTTCCAGCTGGGTCGGAACCGGGATGGTCTCCCTCTCTTAAGGCACACATTGTCCCTAGAATAAGTCGAACCACCATTTTTTAAATACTGTAGCCTTTACCGGACAACCATTTTACTACAAGGATTTTACACGACAAAACCAGATCAGCCCTTTTTTAATGGTTTTGGACTTCCAGGGATATTGCACACCCATGTTCAATCCACCACAGGCTCGGCATCCGCGCTGATCCGTACTCGCTGGGAGTTCCTCCACTGGAGGGTTCCTGAAAGACGAAGGGCAGTGCGACGTCCGACGGTGCGCGCCGAGTCGACTCAGTCTGGAGAGACTCAGTCGACATGGCCCGATGGGTTCTTCCATGAGAAAGCTGATCAGCAACTGCTGATTTCATGGCCCCAGTGGTTCGCGACGAATTCTTCCATGATCCTCCTTTTTGGCGAAAATCCAGCCCTGAAATCATCAGCAGGGCTGGATCCATTCTTCCGTGTCACGGGTGCCTCAATCAAATTGGTTCTGAGCTGAACCAAAGTGGGTACAACAAGGCTCCTTTTGCAATCAAGTCCCATGCCATCGATCACAACAAATGCTGTTGCCACTTTTTTGGGTGCTGTGATGGTGTGAAGGAAAGCAAGCTTGGAGATTGAGAAACAACATGAAACAAAGAAGGTGTGTATTGTGGCGACTGTTGAGTTGTTCGGTACTTTTGCCTTTTTCTGTAGACAAACAAACGCAGTAGTTGTTGTTGTTGTTGTAGTAGTCGTAGTCGTAGTCGTAGTCGTAGTCGTAGTCGTAGTCGTAGTCGTAGTCGTAGTCGTAGTCGTAGTCGTAGTCGTAGTCGTAGT